ATTTGATGGTGATTGTTTTAAATTTATATATCTATAATCATATGTACACATATGCAATTCCTGATTTTAAAGCTATGTACGGCATTCATAGTTAATAATCCATTCAACCAATCTATACTCTTACACAGATAACACTAACATATACCTTGTACCTGCTTCTCTAGAGATGTTACCATCGTATCTCGGTTTTAGACTCAACTCCTTCTATAAAAACAGGTTTATACATGTATCTGCAGTGTTAGGTCCAATTTCTATCTTTAATCACTTCAGAATAGTTTTTCTGCAGTGTTAGGTCCACATTTTATGTTTAATCATTTCAGAATAATTTTGTCTGCAGTGTTTGTTCCAAATTTTATCTTTAATCATTTCTGAATAGTTTTGTCTTTTTCGGGTTTGTTCTTTGATGTGTTTCGTAACATGACTTTTTTTTAAATGTCTAGTATTTTTTTTTATTTTTCCTTAGTTTTATGTCACAATGGTAAATACGTGTTTGATTTTCCTTTGTACTTACACCACATAAGCCATTAAGTTCATACGTTTGTTTTAATTCATGTATTTACAATCACATGTAAATATTTCTCACTTCCTACACTATAGTCATATTTACTGTTATTTTCTTCTGCCATTCTAAAACTTGTTTTATTATTTGCAGGCAGTTTTCCATTTTGTATCGACATGGAAATCTATGCCATTTCAGAGCATGTCTCAAACTACGTTTGTGCATTTTTTTCGTCACACGCCCTCTTTCCCAAACCAACGATTTTCAGCCGGGCTTGGGCATATATGTAGTTAGCGACTGGAGTTCGGTAGGTTCACTTAGAACCAAGCCCGGAATATTCTAATAAAAAGCTATTTTAAACTAAACGATGCTTTGAACAGATATGCATGATTTCATACATATGTAGGGCAACTGACGTATGATATGCACCGGTGAACTTGTGCTGTTTGTAGTTTGTTTTGTTAAACTAGTGAATATCTTAACGATAAATTTTCCTTCTTTCTATCAAGCTGTAAAATCACCTCTTAGTCTTGTCTTATAAACATTATATTCTGATTGTTTAATCACAAATGAGAATCTTTGTATCATATCTAGCTGCAAACTATATGCCCTCGTTTTATTATTAATTCTAACCCTTAATTCAAACGAAGAATACTATTGCACCGTAACGACATGTAGTTACAAAAACACATGAACTACTACATAAAGTACATACACATTGGTTTTCTCACGATACACATCAGATAGAGATTACATATCAAATAAGAACTTCTACAGAAGGTACTGAGAATGATCTATATTTTTTGCACGTGACATGCTATATTTAGAGTTAAAATTTACGGAAGGTTGTATAATCCCGTGACTATAACGATCTTTTTGTTGTTTACAAGTGTCACGAGTGCGGGCATTTCCTCGGAGATTTTTAAAACAACGGATTTTTTTTTCTTTTCATGTGATATGTACAAAAAAAAACGTGACAGTTAAGTAGCATGTGTAAATTCGTTATACATAAGAATGATGTTTGTAAATAAAATCACCGTATATATCAAGATACAGAGGACATCAAGGACATTATATGACTGAGACACGTCTAGCTGGTAAGTCTATTTTGTGGCATTCTGATAATGTAATATCATTACGGTAATGTTCCCTGTGTATCTTAACGCCGTAGGTTATCACTGAATCATCTATCGCCAATTTTTGTATCATTATGTATGCACTCCTTTTCATTTAAATACGACAATGCTGTCTATTGCCTTTACCACTACAACAAAACAGATAATCTGTTTTTACCGTGAAGATAAAGCCACTAGATGACGCCTGATAAGGGTTGGTCTCTTTGTCATGTAGTAAGTCAATTTAACAGCTACTACAAGCTATTACGCAAATTAATCAACATTTATTTTTGGTAATATTGATACCTAATTTTATCTTAATATATGATATCAATTTAGTGCATCAAATGTGTCGTAACGCATAGGATATCCTCTATGGAACTTGAGCGAAATGCCATATAAGGTAAATTCGATATCAATTTACTATGTTATATAAGATATTTTATATGATTGAAATCCCCCCTAGAAGGAGATTATAATACTGTGTAAATCACGTTCAGGTGACCATTGCTAAGAAGTCGTCTTCTATATGTAGCCATGATATTTTTAATGTAGCATAGCTTATATAGGATATGGAATATGTTTTGTATATAGATATAAAATATCCTATATATCCTTTATCTTATATATTATATACTTATTTCAGACATAACATTAAAAGGCTTTAGAATTACTTTGTCCATTGACTCAAGATGCGTTCATTAGGTTTATTTACACGACTCAACTTCTCATGTTAAGTACACAACATTGTTATAAAAATTATTGACACGGAAGAAAACATGTGGTCCTCAATAACACATTGATATAAGTACGCACGGATATTTCTGATATAAGTAAACACGAATATTTTTTTATACTAGTACGCACGGATATTTCTGATATAAGTACGCACGGATATTTCTGATACAAGTTCACACGAACATTTCTGATGTAGATATGCACGAATATTTTTGATATTAGTACGCACGGATATTTCTGATATTGGTACGCACGGATATTTCTGTTGTAAGTACGCACGAATATTTCTGATATAAGTACGCACGGATATTTCTAATATAATTACGTACGAATATTTCTGATGTTAGTACGCACGGATATTTCTGATATAAGTTCACACGGATATTGCAGATAATTTTACATACGGAAATTTCCTTTATAGTCATTGCTCTCTTTCATTTGAATTTTGATGCTTTCATGTCACCCATGTCAGACCTGGACAGATCTGAATACTTAAGGATACTGCCCTGTGGTTTAAACTCGGAGATTTATGGCGTGATAATATCCATTATTTGGGTTTTAAGATGAAATGGGTAAAATAATCATATCAAAATCAATGTATTTATATGGATGTACAAACAAAGACACACAGGTGAATAGCATTTTAGCACAAACTTCGAGTTAGAGACGGTAGAACCAATCATTAACTTAACTACACCATACAGCTGTTTCGTCCTTCTAGGACTCGTCAGTGATGCTACATCATACAGCTTTATCGTCCTTCTAGGACTCGTCAGTGATGCTACATCATACAGCTTTATCGTCATTCTAGGACTCGTCAGTGATGCTACATTGTACATCATACAACTGTTTCGTCCTTGTAGGACTCGTCAGTGATGCTACATCATACAGCTGTTTCGTCCTTCAAGGACTCGTCAGTGATGTTCCATCATATAGCTGTTTCGTCCTTCTAGGACTCGTCAGTGATGCTACATCATACAGCTGTTTCGTCCTTCTAGTACTCGTCAGTGATGCTAGTAGGACTCATCAGTGATGTTACATCATACAGCTGTTTCGTCCTTTTGGGACTCGTCAGTGATGTTACATCATATGGCTGTTTCGTCCTTCTAGGACTCGACAGTGATGTTACATCATACAGCTGTTTCGTCCTTCTAAGGCTCGTCATTGATGTTACATCATGCATCTGTTTCGCCCTTCTAAGACTCGTCAGTGATGCTACATCATACAGCTGTTTCGCCCTTCTAAGACTCGTCAGTGATGCTGCATCATACAGCTGTTTCGCCCTTCTATGACTCGTCAGTGATGCTACATCATACAGCTGTTTCGCCCTTCTAAGACTCGTCAGTAATGCTACATCATACAGCTGTTTCGCCCTTCTAAGACTCGTCAGTGATGCTACATCATACAGCTGTTTCGCCCCTCTAAGGCTCGTCAGTGATGCTACATCATACAGCTGTTTCGCCCTTCTAAAACTCGTCAGTGATGCTAAAGGCCTAACGTTTGAAGCCTAAGAAGCGACTGAGAAAAAATCGAAAGTGCTCGGAAGAAATGTCAATATCAAGACGGGCGGTGTACTAGCATGAATAAATCTAGATATAATTTCCAAATAAGTCAACATTCAGACAATCGCATTTACTAAGTATTAAGGCTTTTCCAGGTAACGCAATTTCTGTCCATGCAACTTTCAGTGTCAGCTGGTGTGACAAAAGGAGTACTATAGATATACCGGGAACCCCAACTGATGCGACAGAAGAATTGCAATAGACCTACCAGGTACCAGCTGTGTGACCGAAGAATTGCCACAGACCTACCTGGTACCAGCTGGTGTGACAGAGAATTGCCACAGATCTACCTGGTACCTGCTGGTGTGACCGAAGAACTGCCACAGATCTACTTGGTACCAGCTGAGTGACCGAAGAACTGCCACAGATCTACCTGGTACCAGCTGGTGTGACAGAAGAACTGACACAAATCTACCTGGTACAAGCTGGTGTGACAGAAGAATGCCACAGATCTACCTGGTACCAGCTGATGTGACAGAATTCCACAGATCTACCTGGTACCAGTTGGTGTGACAGATATATCAAAACTTCTTGCAAATCCAGATCGCTCTATATTCTTAATGAAGTTGATTTTTGCGTTACAATTATGAAAAATCTGTTGTATGGCAGACGAGAGTGTATTTTTATATAGTTTATTTCTCTCTCCTTCTTTAATGTTGATGTTGTGACTGTTGCTCATGACAACAGCCGAAAACTGATTTAAGCAATTTTTGATATTTTGAAAAATTCCGATCTTTTTCAAAAAAGATAAGACTTAAAAACTTTCTGAATGTAAATGTTATTATGTGAATTGGTTGGGAGACCTTTTGCACACCATTGGAATAGCCGACAATCAATCTAAATTTCATTTTCGTTGGGTAGACTGTTGGTAGACATGATTTACCTGTAAGGCTATAGAAGCTTACATGGTTTTCAGCTTCACTGACTGACGTACAGACTTTGAGTTTTTCTTGTCAAATGAACAATGTCGTCGCTATGGTAAGTGAAAAGTAGATGTCCTCCAGATGTACCCGTACTATTTCTTAAACAATTTTAATTGTCTTTTTGTTGTGAATATTATTGCTTTTATAGATTACAGTAGCGGAGATGGCTGTCAATCATGCTGTCACTAGTTCTATGCAGAAGCGACTTGCTAACGATCCAATGTAAGTAACAAAGTTGAATTACACTTCCGGGTTATTTGAACAACATTTCACGTCGAAAATTCGTAATCCGTTCTAAAACTCGCACTCAATGCAAAAACCTAACCATCTCTTTCTCTAATTTGTTTGGTAGTTTAGATATTTTTTTCATCCAAGATCAAATCATCTGCTGGTATTGTATGCCATACATCTTCGTCAACTCGACTTACTGCAAGGCATTTAGAAAAGGATATCTGAAAACAAAATAAGATTGTTAGTAGGCTTGTTGGTACTGGTTAGTAGGCTTGTTGGTACCGGTTAGTAGGCTTGTTGGTACCGGTTAGTAGGCTTGTTGATACCGGTTAGTAGGCTTGTTGGTACCGGTTAGTAGGCTTGTTGGTACCGGTTAGTAGGCTTGTTTGTACCGGTTAGTAGGCTTGTTTGTACCGGTTAGTAGGCCTGTTGGTACTGGTTAGTTGGTTGGTTGGTTGGTTAGTTGGTTGGTTGGTTGACACGTTTTTCGTCTCTTAGATCCTTCCCGTGTCCACGGATCGTCTCACCGACGATTATCAGTGTCCTGAGGACGTGAGGCGACGACCTCAGTGCAATGGAAGCATTTGTAGCGCTGATCGCTTGATTATTCCAGTCTTAGAAGACGGTTTCATGGCCTAATAGTGTCTTATCCTAACTCTAGCAGTTGAAACGTGTCCAGAAGCTGAAAGAGGTGGGGCCTATCTAGTTTTGGTTTCTGTTAAAATAATTTTGAAGTCTATCTTATGTTTACAAAATAATTGTCTAGTCTGACACTATTCCTGGACCTCCTGAACCGGCGTTATCACGCCTACTCTTTTCTTACGAAAAGTCACAAGAGGATCTTTAGCGTGCGAGAGAGGACAATCCTCACATGGGCCACCACTGAAAGTCCCATCCGCCGGACTATAATTAGTGGTTAGTGGTTAGTGCGGTGCATGTGAATTGGTAGTTCCGTTCTCACTAACCTTATATACTTACCCAAGATAATTGCCTCCTGAAAATAGGCTGTTGGTAAGACTGTAATGTTAGAATCTGTGAAGTGAATCTGATGTATGAAAATTCCGAAAGTTATTTAATAAAACTGTATCTAACTCTCAATTTCTAAAACAGCTCAGATAAAAAAGAAATATATATATATATATATATATAAATATATATATATATATATATAGTTAATGACGATACGCAAGTGATAATATAAAGAAAATTGTTTTAAAAAACACACAAGAAAACGTTAAGTTAGCATTTTGCATAACGTTTTCACAGCTTAGCTGCTCCTCAGTGCAATGTGTTTTTTTAAAACAATTTTCATTATATATATATACAATGGTGACCATGTGACCTTGTAAAATACCATTCCCATAAATGAAAACACAAATGTTTCACAAAGTGTTCATGCAATTAGCACATGTCCCACTTTTTGTTGCAACCGAGATCATAGTGTTTTATAAATATTTCTTGTTTAGAATCCTGTATTCATTTCAGGCTGGTGTTGAATAAAATGGCTTCACAGAATGGATCCGTTAACCTGGGTTTGGTAGGTAACGCTATCATAGTAGAGTGTCATTGGTAAAGTTGAGAGTACAAATCATCTTACTAGCATTGAGCAGTGGAAAATTCCCTGTAGTCAAACCGTAGTATGTCCAACTAGAATATTGTAATCTCTTCTCCCCCTTTACATCATTATATTATTAAGACGATTCTTAAACATTGATTTTATTTTGAATATCTAGCGAGGCTATAATACTATGAATATATATCTAATGAGGTACACGTTTGGCTATATCACTATGAATTCAAATTTGTTTATCACTTCTCTTGAAGGGATTTCCAAACTTTCCACCACCGAACAACATCGCCCAGGCGCTAAGTGACGCGGCAACAGGACAAAACCACATGTTACACCATTACACTAGGCCGTATGTAAGTATACAGTCACGTGATGCATTACACCAGGCCGTATGTAAGTATACAGTCACGTGATGCACTACATCAGGCCGTATGTGAGTACACAGTCAAGTAATGCACTACACCAGGCCGTATGTAAGTATACAGTCACGTGATGCACTACATCAGGCCGTATGTAAGTATACAGTCAAGTAATGCACTACACCAGACCGTATGTAAGTATACAGTCAAGTAATGCACTACATCAGGCCGTATGTAAGTATACAGTCACGTGATACACTACATCAGGCCGTATGTAAGTATACAGTGACGTGATGCACTACATCAGGCCGTATGTAAGTATACAGTCAAGTAATGCACTACACCAGACCGTATGTAAGTATACAGTCAAGTAATGCACTACATCAGGCCGTATGTAAGTATACAGTGACGTGATGCACTACATCAGGCCGTATGTAAGTATACAGTCAAGTAATGCACTACATCAGGCCGTATGTAAGTATACAGTCACGTGATGCACTACATCAGGCCGTATGTAAGTATACAGTGACGTGATGCACTACATCAGGCCGTATGTAAGTATACAGTCACGTGATGCACTACATCAGGCCGTATGTGAGTATACAGTCACGTGATGCACTACATCAGGCCGTATGTGAGTATACAGTCACGTGATGCACTACATCAGGCCGTATGTGAGTATACAGTCAAGTAATGCACTACACCAGGCCGTATGTAAGTATACAGTCAAGTAATGCACTACATCAGGCCGTATGTAAGTATACAGTGACGTGATGCACTACATCAGGCCGTATGTAAGTATACAGTCACGTGATGCACTACATCAGGCCGTATGTGAGTATACAGTCACGTGATGCACTACATCAAGCCGTATGTAAGTATACAGTCAAGTAATGCACTACATCAGGCCGTATGTGAGTATACAGTCAAGTAATGCACTACACCAGGCCGTATGTAAGTATACAGTCACGTGATGCACTACATCAGGCCGTATGTAAGTATACAGTCACGTGATGCACTACATCAGGCCGTATGTAAGTATACAGTCACGTGATGCACTACATCAGGCCGTATGTAAGTATACAGTCACGTGATGGACTACATCAGGCCGTATGTGAGTATACAGTCAGGTGATGCACTACACAAGACTGTGTGTAAGTATACAGTCATGCGATGCATTACCCCAGACCGTATGTGAGTATACAGTCAAGTAATGCACTACACCAGGCCGTATGTAAGTATACAGTGACGTGATGCACTACATCAGGCCGTATGTAAGTATACAGTGACGTGATGCACTACATCAGGCCGTATGTAAGTATACAGTCACGTGGTGCACTACATCAGGCCGTATGTAAGTATACAGTCACGCGGTGCACTACATCAGGCCGTATGAGAGTATACAGTCAGGTAATGCACTACACAAGACTGTATGTAAGTATTCAGTCACGTGATGCATTACCCCAGGCCGTATGTGAGTATACAGTCAGGAGATGCACTACATCAGGCCGTATGTAAGTATACAGTCACGTGATGCACTAGATCAGGCCGTATGTGAGTATACAGTCAGGTGATGCACTATATCATGCCGTATGTAAGTATACAGTCACGCGTTGCACTACATCAGGCCGTATGAGAGTATACAGTCAGGTAATGCAATACACAAGACTGTATGTAAGTATACAGTCACGTGATGCATTACCCCAAGTCTCATTTTAGCATAATAATTGGCAATAAATTTCAAACCTTCTCTGTCGGGCAAGATCTAATGAAAGTCGATCTTTACACTAACACCTGGTACTCAGAACATCCAACATCTGGGTTGCATGGTAACTGGAAAAGTAATAGGACAAATACAACCATGGAACGTTCAAAATTGATAAACATACGTCGTAATATACAAGTATTGGATACTAGGACAATATTTACGTTGATAATATACATATATTTGGTATTTATATTAGGGTCATCCTCGTCTGGTGAATGTCCTGGCTAAGTTGTACTCTAAGCTTCTGTCAATCACACTGGAACCAACTGACCACATACTGACAACCATTGGAGCATTCCAAGGTTTATCATCTATCTGTCAGAGCCTCATTTATCCCGGGGATGAGGTAAGTCTCATTCTGTTGGGCTTCTGCTATCGTCACTATTCCTTAATGTTACGCACAGTATCTCTCTCAATGGGACAATGGATAGCTGTCTTATTAAAACAAGCTAAATTCGACACTGTCATGTATAGCTGCAAATACTCTGTTTGTGATAGTATAAAACACTAAAAATAAATATTAAGGCAAACTCAAACTTCGATGAAACGAGGGCAACAAAATTTTCATATTTGAATTAAAAAGATATATGGGCTATCTTTCTCCTATGTATTCGAGCACTTTTTTTCAAAGTATATATATATATTTCACAATATTGCTTTTTTTCTAAAATTCATACACCATGAAGGTTTATCTTTGTACAGTTAACTGGTCTTATTTTGCTAATCTATACATGTTTTACGCGAAAACGTTATAATTGTTACTATTATGCCCTTTGTAATTGATTTTGAGTATGAATACAGATTTTATTGACACATCAGTATTGTAGAATTGTATAACATTACTGTTTTGTCTCTCAATCTGCTTCAAGGGGTCTGAATTTATCAAACTGACATACAACCTTCATACGGGTATTTAACAAGAAACCATATAGAACTGCATGCTTGTTAACAGATACACTTTCACACCAGCATGAACTGGTGACACTATATAATGTTGTAGGTGATTTTGCTGGAGCCGTTCTATTCCCCATACAAAAACATGTTGGAAATGCGTGGTGCTGTGCCAGTCTATGTCCCACTGCGACCGGTAAGTTTAAAAAAAAAGGAACAAAACCAAATAGTTATTGTAAACGTAGTATATATGTAATTACTGTTACAGAGGAGAGTAACTGAGAGACAACTATTGTAAACGCAGTATATATGTCATTACTGTTACAGACGAGAGTAACTGAGAGACAACTATTGTAAACGTAGTATATATGTCATTACTGTTACAGAGGAGAGTAACTGAGAGACAACTATTGTAAACGCAGTATATATGTCATTACTGTTACAGACGAGAGTAACTGAGAGACAACTATTGTAAACGTAGTATATATGTCAATACTGTTACAGACGAGAGTAACTGAGAGACAACTATTGTAAACGTAGTATATATGTAATTACTGTTACAGAGGAGAGTAACTGAGAGACAACTATTGTAAACGTAGTATATATGTCATTACTGTTACAGACGAGAGTAACTGAGAGACAACTATTGTAAACGTAGTATATATGTCATTACTGTTACAGACGAGAGTAACTGAGAGACAACTATTGTAAACGTAGTATATATGTCATTACTGTTACAGAGGAGAGTAACTGAGAGACAACTATTGTAAACGTAGTATATATGTCATTACTGTCACAGACGAGAGTAACTGAGAGACAACTATTGTAAACGTAGTATATATGTAATTACTGTTACAGAGGAGAGTAAATGAGAGACAACTATTGTAAACGTAGTATATATGTAATTACTGTTACAGAGGAGAGTAACTGAGAGACAACTATTGTAAACGTAGTATATATGTCATTACTGTTACAGACGAGAGTAACTGAGAGACAACTATTGTAAACGTAGTATATATGTCATTACTGTTACAGAGGAGAGTAACTGAGAAACAACTATTGTAAAAGTAGTATATATGTCATTACTGTTACAGACGAGAGTAACTGAGAGACAACTATTGTAAACGTAGTATATATGTAATTACTGTTACAGAGGAGAGTAAATGAGAGACAACTATTGTAAACGTAGTATATATGTAATTACTGTTACAGAGGAGAGTAACTGAGAGACAACTATTGTAAACGTAGTATATATGTCATTACTGTTACAGACGAGAGTAACTGAGAGACAACTATTGTAAACGTAGTATATATGTCATTACTGTTACAGACGAGAGTAACTGAGAGACAACTATTGTAAACGTAGTATATATGTCATTACTGTTACAGAGGAGAGTAACTGAGAGACAGCTATTGTAAACGTAGTATATATGTAATTACTGTTACAGAGGAGAGTAACTGAGAGACAACTATTGTAAATGTAGTATATATGTAATTACTGTTACAGAGGAGAGTAACTGAGAGACAACTATTGTAAACGTGGTATATAGGTAATCACTGTTACAAAGGAGAGTAACTGAGTGAACTATTTTCAACAAAATATATACTTTAGTACTCTTTCCAGCGCATAACGATATCAGGTTTCTTTTAAAAAAACAAAAACAAAACAATGAATAAACACAGCTGTTGTAGTGTATCGTTATTATATACATAAAGATATATAGAAAAGCTAGGGAATTATTTTGTTTATGTATTATTATGTATTTACTCTAGTTAATGGAGTATATTGGGTTTCTTTTTTCTATTGCAAAGTTTTAATAGATTAAATCAAGTAATTAAATCTAACGACTTTTTACATTGATTATGAACATTATAAACTCGTTATATTTGACTTTCACATTATAACACGTTAACTTCTTCAGTATAAAGATGGTGGCGAACAGAGCAGTGCTAATTGGGTGTTCGATAAGGCAGAACTGCAAAACGCTGTTACAAGCAAAACAAAGGCCATTTTTCTGAATACGCCTATGAACCCATTAGGCAAAGTAAGTCATTTACGAATATTTCGGATTCCTTAACATAGGAATTTGAGAATCAACAGTCGTTGAAATTTCAATATCATGCACTTGAAACTTTCAATCTGCAGGTCAAAGTTCATTTGTTTGGACAAAATTACAAGGTTTGCCGTCATGTATTTTGATTAAAAAGACCACTGAATATATTGATGATACTCAAGATTGATAAGTGATTGTGAAATTCAAACTTTGTTGTTAAACTTTGAACAGACTGGCCTGTAACATGCATTACAAAAGGTCAGTTGATAAGATTTTCTGTCTTGCGCAGGTTTTTGACAAGGAAGAACTGCACGAAATTTCCGAACTTTGTGTGAAACACAACCTACTTTGTGTAGCTGACGAGGTTTATGAATGGCTGATATATGGTGGAAAACAACACATACGAATAGGTATAATTTATTGGTAAAAATGACTAATTAACAACACGTGCAGATAGGTATAATTATTGATAAAAATGACAGATTTAACAACACGTGGGAATAGGTATAAATTTATTGGTAAAATAACTGATTTAACAACACGTGCAGATAGGTAAAAATAGGTAAAAATGACAGATTTAACAACACGTGCGGATAGGTATACATTAATTGGTAAAACTGACTGATCTTACAACACGTGCGGAAAGATATACATTTATTGGTAAAAATGACTGATTTTACAACACAGGCGAATAAGTTAACATAAGTAAACAGCTATAGGTTTATATTTATTTTACGTTTATATCCACATGCAGATAGGTATATTTTTAATGGCAAAACAATTGATTGAGAAAAAAACATACGGAAAGGCGAAAAAACTGCTCGTATATTTTTTTTCTTTTATGCATCAGTTGATTCATGGCCGGAAGCGATATACACGAAAAACTGAATAGCGTTTTAGTATAAAATCGTATATGTATCCATGATTATAATTGAATGACTACAAAAACATCAGGAAAATACCATTATGGCAACAAAATCACAATGCAAACTCAAATTCCATAAAACAAGGGCGAAATATGAACAATAGAAAGATTAACAAAGAGACTCCAGGTGTTCCGTAAGAGTAAGCGTCTTCTGCTTCATCGACGACATCCGCCATGTAAACCTCGGTCATTCAAAGTAAGTAATGTCACGTTCTCAATTGAGAAGAAGGTATACAGCAATGGAAACAACAGACAAACAAACGAGTATCAAATACGTCCAGATTCATGTCGCACAAAGAAATAGAATATTTAACAGTGAAATCACTTTCGCAACTATAAAACTACCCCATAATTTTCATCAATCTGCATCATTTGAACCCTTGTGTTACGAGTTTGTAAGTCACTTGACGTCTTCTTGCCCGAAACTCATGATTAATGGAACAGGGTCTTGAACATCGCATCAACTGAGACATGTGAATGCCGTTGGTTGGAGATGCAGGAAGGTTGCTATCCAGAAATGGAAAATATCAATAGGGAAATTGAAATAATCCCGTTTATCATACAACTTGATGGAAAGCAAGCTGTCCATGTTGGTTTCGTTGTAGGAAAAGATCGATATAAAGAGATGATGTAAACGAGTCCGTCGTATATTTGATTCTAGTTCTGGTGGACGATGGATGAAGACAATAAATTTCTTGTTACTTTTAGACAAGACGTCATCAATATACCTGAAGGTGAAATTAAACAACTTTGATAAAGGTCTCTGTGACCTCTTTTGATAAGATCTTCAATAAATTAAGCCTCGTGTGAAAACAAAAAACAAGTCAGCCAACAGTGGGGCGCAGGTGGTTGCATCGGTATGGCATTAGTCGTTGGAAGATTTTACCACCAAACTCTTTGAAGTTGTTGTCAACCAGAAACTCGATCATTTATATGGCTTCGTCCTCTGTATATTTCTTCTTTTGATTTGGACGTAACGTTTAGGAAATACGCTTCAGTATAGTTAACAACCATATAGCTATACAGCCGTTCACCTTCTTGGAGAAGAAAACTCTCATAACAAGAGAACGAAGGCGTTCCTTAGGTTTAGAATGGGGTATGGTGATGTACAGGGTGGAGAATTACAAACATTTGAAACACAATCCAACATTACGTGTCAACTGCATCAATACTGAAATTTATCATGATTATTATAACAACAGTGCTACGCGGTCTTCAATACCAATGACAATTAGACAATAAAAACATGCAATGTTTTTACACTTACGTTCCTTCCTTTCTCGTTGGTTTCTTTGGTTGTTTTTATATCTTCCTCAATTTTTATGATTATTCTTTTACTTTTTAGCGAGTTTTCCTAATATGTGGCAGCGCACAATTACCATTGGAAGTGCTGGTAAGAGTTTCAGTGTAACTGGCTGGAAGGTAGGCTGGTGTATTGGTCCGAAACACTTGATACAAGTTCTCCAAAATTACCACTTCTCCGCCATTCGTACAAGTCCCACTCTTACACAGGTAAATATGGTGATACCTAAATGAGTGTATAGATATATAATTATATATATATTGTCTCCGATATACAGGAAAGGAATTCGAGTACGGATTCTAAAGACATGCATAAGTACCATGAATACTCTCGAAGAAATTACTGTCGAACTTCAGGGAAAAACCCACAAAAAAGGAACAAAAAGGAAATCCTGTACTTAAATGTATTTTTGTCTATTCTGCTCACAGGAAGCTGTAGCTGTTGCTATGGAGAAGGAGATGCTCGTGTTGAACACACCCGCGTCCTATTTCCAGACGTTATCTAACGAAATGGAAGGGAAAAGAAACAGACTATGTAAATATCTCAACAAAGCTGGTTTCCAGGCCATCACACCAGACGGGGGTTACTACATCATAGCGGATATATCCAATATACTAGGTAATATACATACAATGTAAGCCTCTTGAAAGTAGATCAAGGTCATTTATTTAAACAAACTTTGTCATCTTCTATCCCAGTAAGTTAAAGGCCCAATAACAGTGCACTGGGCCCTTTGGTTATTGAGAAGTCGAGCAGAGTTCATTTTTAACACACAAAATATTGAATCAAGAGATACGTGCTTTCGAAAACACATCTTGTTGCATTTGATAGTATTCCTTTTAAAGATATTAATATTAATTTGTTATTGTTTGGTATAAGCGCATGCCGTGGAAAAGGACAAAATATCCGAGGAGGCATTAGATTACAGATTTGCCAAGTGGGCAGTGACAGAAAAGGTGAGACTGATTCTACCTCTAGTATTACATGAGTATGCCCTTGTTATCAGAGCAGGTACCTTATAGTTCGTAATATTCGCGAGGGATTTGCATTTGCTATATCCACGGTCATTGAGCATGACGCGAAATAACATTTCCTACAAATATATTTATAGTCAATCAAAATCTTGTAAAATGGATGTTATCATCCCTGTATTTGTACCAATTAATATGCACACGCGAACTTGAATATCCGTGAACTTGACCAACGAGGGACACATTACAATACCTATCTCAAAGTAAATTTCGAGTTAGAAAAATAGAAGCAAATAATGAATTAAAACTGCGTCATACAGCTGTTAAGTCCTTCTAGTACTCGTCTATGATGCTAGTTGGCCTACATTTTGAAACCTAATAGGCAATTAAAGAGAAATTGATAAAAAAAACCTTCAAAACCTGGAATTCCAAATTTGCGTTTACCAATAAATTCAGTAAAAAACAAGAGTATTAGTTTTTCATCTTTTCGGCATCATTAGATGTTCGCCTATCGTGATGTTGGTGTAATTGGCCCCCATAGGACGTATTGAGGCTTCCCCGGCTGTAACTGGCAATCTCTGCCGACATTATTCTCCAAACACGACTAAGGTATAAATTCACTGGTTCCTTTACAGAAACTCTGTGTGCTGCCAATGTCGATCTTCTATTCCGAGGCTCACCGCTACCTATGTGAGAAATATGTGCGGATTTGCTTCGTGAAGGTAAATTAATAATGTTCGAAACTTGTGAAGACATAATGATAATGTACTTACTTTATGACATTAAACGGTCTTTGTGCGAAAACTTATGGAGGTAAATTGATGACATATTTACATTGTTTACAGTTTTTACCTGGTGAAGGTAACTTGTGTACTTATATTTTGAAAGTAAATTGTTATTATACTTTAACATGTAGAATCAAACTGTTGGTGTACTTACCTTGTGAAGGTTTATCATTGTGTACTTACCTTGTGAAAGTATATCATTGTGTACTTACCTTGTGAAGGTATATCATTGTGTACTTACCTTGTGGAGATAATTCATAAATGTACTAACCTTGTGAAAATAGATGGAAAATGTGCTTTACTTCTTTTATGTACTACCCTCTGAGGGAAAAATTATTTACTTACCCCGTAAAAGTATTTTTTTTTTATTAACTTACCTTTTGATGTTTAAATTTGTTTACTTACCCCCTGTTCATGAAAATTGTTTTTTCATAAACTGTCCTTAGCAAAGAACCTTTGTTACTAATTGGTCACAATCACATTCCAAGTCACGTTTGTGTTTTGTTTTGTAGACTGATGAAACACTGGAGAAGGCAAAAGAAATACTTGATGAATGGAAACAAAGTTGAACACACTTGTGTGTTCCTGATAGTGGGATCTTTCTTCTTAGATTTACAATGTAATATCCCTAGAGTTCTATATAAACTTTAGACAATAGAGAAAGTCACTGCGGTAATGATGGAAGAGTGCTGACAATATGTAGATTAGTGGTGACGTCAAATTGACTTGTAGATATGGGTGGTTTAGGAACTTCATCATTGCATTTGTACACCACTGATCGTATATACAGCAGTTTGATGTTTAATCAGATGCTCAACTAAAATGGCATTGATCTAAGGATAAAACAAACGTATTTAATATAGAAGTATCACTTATATGAGGTTGATGGCAGGTGGATAATTATGCACAGGGAATACTTATATAGTATAATCATGTAGTTATTTCCAACCATAAATAGGTAACTATTAAGTATGTACAGTGTAATATAGATATGTGTACATAAAGTGGAATTGCGCTTGTAAAGGACCAATTAGTGAACATCACAAGATGACTTATAACTAATGATTAGTGTGAGCGTTCGTTTTCATTTTACAACGTACATGTAAAGCGATACCTTCGATTACAATAAATATATCTTTCAACAAACCTACGGGATCTTTAATGCTTGAAACTGGTATTCCGCAACAAATATGCGGAATACCATAATACCAAATTGAATAGAGTATTCCGCACAAAGATCAGATACATTTGTGTCTCGAAGCGTTGGGATACCGATCATGTCAAATCCTGAATGATACCATTTCTTAGTCTTGATTGAAAGTAAATAGGCGATGATAGACGGTGATATATAACACCGAATGAGCATATCATTGACCACTTGTAAATACGTGATATTCGTGCATATTCTGACTTACACTTACACATTCCACTTTTACCTTCTTGGAAGTAAGATACAGTTAAGAATATCAGTATCCACGTGGTCAATAAAAGTAAATTTTTAAATATCAAATTTACTGCGAAAGTAAATTCTGTATATCCTGAATGTCCGCCAATACTTATATCAGATTGTACAAAAGACACACAAGTAAAGAGCACATTTTTATACAAATTAAAATACAGTAGAGGCAAACAATTAATTAAACTGCATCATACAGCTGTCTCGTCCTTCCAGGACTCGTCAATGATGCGAAGGACCTAAATTTTGAAGCGTATGAAAAGAGCATCTAGCCCCATAATTTAAAAAATCTCGGAAACGATGTATTATTACCAAAAGTTTTTTTAACGATTTCTACGAGATAGGAACATGACAATAACTAGAGGAAAAATTTAGAAATGTTCTCAACTGGAGTAAGTATCTGGTAACAGAACGATGTAAACATATTTATCTTGGCCGCTTTCACTTTTATAAAGAATGTATATCAATAATAACAGAATAACAAATAGCCTTATACTAATATAAACCCTTCAATCAAAAAGTGGTATTTTTTAAATAATATTCATAACGGAAACTGTGAACTTGCTTTTTAGATCGAACGAAATCAAAGAAGTATTAAACATCAGTTTGTTAATAACCAAAATGCTAGGTTTGTAATGGGTTATTTTGTTTGTCTTTCCACAGTCCTTTATTGAATGAATACAATATTTTACAAAGAGGCACAAACCGATTAATTTATGGAAGAATGATATCAATATTGTACTGTAGTGAACATATGTACTAGGAATATTTACACATGGTATCTGTTATCATGAAACATGAACGACTTAATGTTTTAGATTACTAAACTAACTTTCATTTGTAAGGAAATATATATATCTACAAACACTTATACATGTACAAACAGAATTATAAAAGATATTTTACTCGGATAGGCTAATCAATACAATAAATGTGTAGATAATTCCTTAAATAATTTTATTTGTATAATTACTTTCATTGAATCGAAGAGCATGACTGACCAAGAAGCGATTCACGAACTAGTGGTCAGTCCCAGTAATTCGACAATTTGAGATGTTAAAAATTGCAAGAGCTCCAACATTTTTAGAATTGTTAAAACATTTTGGAATGTGATTTGAAATAAAATAAACAGCTTCCATGTTTGCTTTTGATATTCCTTGATGATTGTACCTTTGATGAGAATAGTATTCATAAAAGTACAACTAGCACTGCGTTAAATGTACATGTATATAAATTTTGAATCAAGAATGTAAAATTTATTCTGAAGCTGATTTTCATGATAGCCTCAATTTATTGCCATTCTGACTAAAAATAACACAAGCTGATTTGTTTCTAATTTATACAAGAGGCGATGTAGTAGGTCTATTTGGTTATATGGAATTTTAAGACAATTCCAAAAAAGCAAGACATAGTCCAGCTCATAAGTCTTCCTTTTTCAATAACATGTTCTTAAGATGACTGAATTAATTGATAGATTCAATTTTAAATTCAACCCTAACGTAGACTTTTGACGAACAAGACGATGGAAGAGGACGACACTGAACGAGCAAAGATACCAAAAACAATTTCATATGAACAAGATGTTTATTAAAAACTTTATATTTATCATTGACATTTTATATTCCATGATGTCTTGTTTTTATACCATATTTCACATGTAAATATATTACTTATTTAAATGCACTTAATTGTTGTATTTATTTGTTCTTTCTCTTAGATAGTCTTCAGTGTATTTCAATATGGAAATGAATTGCATGGGAAATTTATGCCCATATTAAAAACTCGATAAAGGAAAAGCTTTTTGACATTTCTGGAAATTCAAAAGCACACAGTGAGATTGTAATTCATGACAAAGTATGGCTCGAGATAATTTGATTTGTGATCTCTATAGCGAAAAAGGATGGTCATCCAAATAAAAATCATAACAAAAGCAATGATGAACTACATAATGGGCACACTAATTTCCGTGAGAGAGTGAAGTGCCCTTTGGGGGTCAAAGTTTATCCTATCAGCCAATACAAACATGCTAAGGTGTTACATCACATTGTTATACATGTATAGGCTGAATGTGTATACAATAGTTGGAACTGATGCCTTGGGAGTTGAATAACACACCAACATATTATGATAGAAATTTATGATTACACACACAGACAATGGTACTATAATGAAAATATCACAATTTACCCAGATTACACAACTGTTTTACATTATGAACATTAAGAAATTTAAAAGTTTATATACAGTTAGGTGACGAAAATAAATTGCTATAAGGTAGTATGAAATCAACACTTGAAGATGAAAGGAAATTTACTAACTAATAGGGCTAGAACATCTCCATATCTAGAGGTAATAACTGACAATGTACACTTTCTCAGTGTCATACAACCATTTGTCTTCACGTCTAACTCCACCATTTCTCAAAATTGCGATTTTTGGCTTATGTACATTTATAGTGAGCTTACATTCATTATCATAGAGACATAATGCAATTAGCTTCATGTGTTGTAAAACCCAAGGTGTTTCTACAATAAAACTTGTGTCGTCTACATTTACAATTAAAGATAAAAAAAATCAACCCGATTAACCCAGGTAACTAGTTTTCTTTTATAAAATTCAGTTCAAAATCGTTGACAAAGAGACTGTATAAAATCGGTTAGAGTACTCACATTGAAACGATATTATTTTCTGTATTAGTTATCCTAAGCGCTCGACATGTTTTCTCTATTCATAATATTATAACTCATTTTGTGACCAAAATGTGACCTATTGTGCAAGTAAAATGTCAAAAGACATTAATCTCATAATTTCTTATCGAGGTCTTATAATCTTCAGCAATTTACATTCAACTTCATGTTTTGCAAGAACCTGCAATTGCATGTCTTACAAGTTCACACCAGTAATTTTCTTTGAACTACATATTTACACGTTCACACCAGTAATTGTCTTTGAACTACATATTTATACGTTCACACCAGTAATTTTCTTTGAACTACATATTTACACGTTCACACCAGTAATTGTCTTTGAACTACATATTTATACGTTCACACCAGTAATTTTCTTTGAACTACATATTTACACGTTCACACCAGTAATTGTCTTTGAACTACATATTTATACGTTCACACCAGTAATTGTCTTTAAACTACATATTTACACGTTCACACCAGTAATTTTTTTTGAACTACATATTTACACGTTCACACCAGTAATTGTCTTTGAACTACATATTTATACGTTCACACCAGTAATTTTCTTTGAACTACATATTTACACGTTCACACCAGTAATTGTCTTTGAACTACATATTTACACGTTCACACCAGTAATTTTCTTTGAACTACATATTTATACGTTCACAGCAGTAATTTTCTTTGAACTACATATTTACACATTCACACCAGCAATTTGCTTTGAACTACATATTTACACGTTCGCACCAGCAATTTTTCTTTGAACTCCATGTTTAATAAATTTACGAATTCAATTTTGTTTTAGACTTTATGTTCACAAGTTCATATATTTGCTTACCTCTATTGTTATGGTCAAACCATTTTATAGTCAACAACAATATTTGCATCTACATTTGAGTGATCACTTATCTGGACATCGATGATAATGAAATTTGCTTCACTTAGTATCCTTAATTATACGACGGTTGTTCAAAACTAAAGTAACAAGCTTGCCCAAACTGCTTACATGAGTTATGCCTCTTACATTATTAAATCATTGATACAAACTTTTTTCTGTTCCAGATCAATGCAGCCACCTGAAAAGGACAGCTATATATTCGCATGTTATGTTTCGGTATACATGGAATTAGAACTTATTCAGAATATCAGAATAATTCAAGTAAATTCAAATCTTCAATATAACTTTCCTCTTTTCATATTTGAAATTGCGTTCTGCATCTCTGTAGTTGATCTGATCATGAATTCTTAAGAGTCACATGTGCTATTACTGTCACTACTGAAATACTGTTATGAGTCACATGTGCTATTACTGTCACTACTGAAATACTTTTATGAGACAAACGTGTTATTACTGTGACTACTGAAATACTCATGAGTCACATGTGCTATGACTGTCACTACTGAAATACTGTTATGA